TAAAGACACAATATATTTCAGTTTTCTTAGTTTGTTTCTATTTTGCAAGACATAAATCCCCAGACACTCTTAAAGATGCAAAGAACAGCACAGTGCAACTTGTTACGTTTACAAAATGTATTTAAATTAACAGTTTCTGCAGATTCCTATTACTCAGTTTGCTGTTATCAAGGACAGGTATTTCATTAATTCCTAGCTGGAAGACTGGGTCTGATTTTGATCTTATTTGAGTCATTTTAAGCTGCCACCTGTATTGTCACGGATATCATTGCTGCTGGCTGCAGCAGGGAGCTGGGAGCACGAGTTCCCCCTGCCCTGCCAGGCACAGCCCCTGCCCTTTGGGCGTGAGTACAGCAACTCTAAAGAAGAGCATAAAAATTAATGTATTTTATACATAATTCATGGCATTTAAAAAACATTGTCACTTGACAGCTGAGTTGATAATAAAATTAGTTTGTTCTACCTCCCGCTGTTAAGTACGAGACTTGCAGAGCTCTGTGTTTTAATGGTTCTGGCAACACCTCCGTAAGATGATAACCACCACTGGTGCCTGGCTCTCCCTCAAAAATCTGTGTATTTAGAATTGGAGACTCTTCTAGAAATAATGCAGTCCAAACTTGCTCCCTATCAGCAATAGGTGTATATAATGTCTCCAGTCCTGGAATGGAAGGAGTAGGGTGTCACATAGACATGTGACAATTGTTCATCTCGATTTGTGGCTGCAGGGTTTCTTTTTTTATACATCTATGTCATTTCTAGTTAGTGTTGTGTTTGACATAAAGTGATTTGACCTGATGTTATGCCAGTTTCTTGGCCAAAAAATAATATTTCCACAAATAGTTTAGAAAAAAGAAGATCAGCCACTGCAATTATAGAGCACTGCAAAGGGTTGGACTCGAAGAGACCCAGACCCACTTTGTGTTATTAGCAAATCCAAACACAGGATCAACTGGCATTGATGGAACATGGGGCAAAGGAGACAAACATTTCTTCCAGAAAAGGTAAAACTTGGGAATTTCCATTATTGAGAAGCAGAAGTGAAATCCAGGCTAGTGCTCAAAAACCAAAGAGGGATTTATTTTACATTTCCACTAAATGGGGATGTGGAAAAAGGAGACAAAGAAATTGTTGTTCACACAAGTACATGGAGAATAAGAGTCATATTTGGGACTGAGGCAAAATCCTAGCAGAAGATGTGGTATGATGTGGTTGCAATTTGTTCTCTGAGTTTCTCTGTTGTTCTGACAGCAAAGAAGAAACAAAGCAGAACTCTGTGAGGCCTTCAGCAGAGAAAGACCTCCAACCTTATCTGTCAGCCTGGTGAAAGCAGCTCCTTTTTGTTCCCTGCACCAGTCTCCACGCAGCCTGCATCCCCAGCACTGAAGGGAAGGCTTGTGCCTCTTATTTTCTTGCATAGAGACATAAAAGTGAATTACAATCTTTCTTTGCAGCTGTCATCATGTGGCCTCTCAATGACTTATCTGGCGACCAAAGCAAGGCTACTCAAGCAATATATTTTACGTGACCTTTGCAAAAATGCTGAGAATTCGTCCTACAGGCAGTGCATTTTTATTAACAGGTTTTTCCATGACTGTAAAGCCAGGAGTTGTATAATATCTGTGAGACTCTCACATTTTGAGAAGTTAATAAAAAAACCCTGGCATCTGTGGGAAGAAGGAGCACAATAATTGCAATCAGGGGAAGGCAGGGGCAGTCCCTGCTCTGCAAGGCAGCTGGCCCCAAAGTCTCAGGGACCTGCTAGGACACAAATTGCTCTTAATCAGCCACGGTGCTCACAGCATCCTGAGCAACGAGCTGAAGGTGCTCTATGGAAACCATAGTTCTGAGGGTTTGTCTGTTAAGTGCAAGTTTTAGAAAGAAAGCAAGCTTGACCTTCACAGTATGCAAAACTTTGGCTCTGGTCCTAGCTCTTTTCACATGTGAATAGTTCCTGTGGGGCCTCTTCATGTGCTCAGAGTAACAAACAATTTCAGGATTTAGACCTTGATCTGAATCAAGGGTAGCAGCAATACCTTCTGATGAACAGAAGTATTTTGTTCACAGCATTTTCTTCATGGAATTAGCCTGACTCAAACTCTTCAGTTTTGTGATGTAGCTACTCTGGTTTGTAAAGGGTTCTTGCCTTTTTCCAGGGTTTCTCCCCAATATCTGTTAAAAAAGCAACCTACTCCTCACTTTTTTTTTTTTCTTTTTATTAATGAAATAATTTTTTTTTTTTACTCAATTTGACTTCTGGCTGTGCATTTCAAACACAGTTGAGGCAGAATGAAGAATCCATTATAGTCAGACACCCCTTGGAAAGCTGGACAGGTCATCCCCCCAAGACATGCCCCTCACTTTGCTTTCTGGACTGGCTGATGCTATCGCAGCTGATTGCTCTTGCACAGGACAAACCATCCTGAAGGTCACTGGTGTCCAAGCAATCCACAGAAATTCCTTCCCCAATTGCCTCTTCTTAGGAGTAAAATACAACTGGCCATTATGGACTTTGCTATTTTACAAATCTTCAGTAACAGCAGCTCTGTGAAATGGGTATTAACAGGATTGATAGCCAGTCCTCATCTGTATGCCACCATCGTGATGTAAACCAAACCCCCACAGCTGCACTCTGCTTTTCATTTTTTAGCCTTTTGTAGTTTCTGTATATCCCATTCTATTACAAAATGTTCAGGAATGTTGATAAATAAGTCTCACTGACTGGTAGGTGTTACTCTCAGCAGCGTGGTGCACAGCAGCCAGGACATGAACTCTAATTTGTAGGTAATGTTCTGTTTGTACACAACAAGGCACCTCTGCCATCTATATGTATGTGGGACAAGAATAATGAAGTCATAACTTCACTAAATTCACAGAATTTAGCACCCAGTAGAGTAAAATACAATGGGCATTTGGTTAGAGTCAGGCAACTGAAATACGATATGGAAATAGGACCTAGAAGAAAAGGCATTACATCTGTCCTGGAGTATTTCAGCATGGTTAATGGCCATGCAATTGCTCATTCCAAGTCCATACCCAAAGAATCTCATTGAATATATGAGTTAACAGGTAAGATGGAGACAATTCAGTGAATGACTGGGGATTTTCAGAAGCTGGTTTTAGAACTTGCTCATCCTCTCACTTTTATACCTTTATTTCAGAGAAATTCTGGCATTTAAACTATATTTAGCGATAAAAGTGAGGCATCACCTTCATCTTGCTACAGTGAAGAAGGTAAATTAAGGCTTTCACAGGCATTTTCATACTATTTTTAAAGAAGAACACAAGGAAAATGTGTGCTGTTAGGGAAAGTGCAATGGCTTCTCTTCATCAGAACAGTTTAAAACTGTCTTGTCACCCAAGTACAGAAAAAAATGCTCAGTTATTTACAAACAATTATTGTGTTCACTGAGAAGTGCCTACTGCAGGCATCTGGCAAAATATTGCAAATAATACAAGATACTCAAATTATTAAAATCAACACCACAAATTAACTATTAATTAAACTGTATTTTCACTCAAGCTGAACTCACCACCACAACCTCACCGTGCCATCACCGATCCCTGATCACAGACTGAACTGACTTCGCACGGCCACCAGCCCCCACCCCCGGCTGCACCGCCCCGGGCGGAGCCCCCGACCCAGCGCTGCCCCTCCCGGGGAGCGGGGTCCGGCTGGGCCGGGGCAGCCCGGCCCGACCGACACGGGAGCCGCCCGGGGGCGAGCCGGGGCCAGCGCTGCTCCTCTGGGCGGCGGGTCCCGGCCGGAGGCTGCGGCACCACCCCCCCGCCTCTGCCGTGGCCTCCGCATCCCCGAGCTCCGGCCCTAAAGCGGAGCAGAAACGTGCGGGACGCTCGCCCCACCCCGAGTCTGGGCACCCAACACCCCCGAGCCCGGGCACCCAGCATCCTCCGAACCTGGGCACTCAATATCCTCGAGCTCGGGTACCAAACACCCCCAAGCCTGGGCACTCAATAACCCCGATCCCGAACACCCAGCATCCCCCGAACCCGGGTACTCAACACCCCCGAGCCCTGGCACCCAACATCCCCGAGCCTGGGCACTCCAGCATCCCCCGAATCCGGGCACTCAATACCCCCGAGCCCGGGCACCTAGCATCCCCGAGCCCTGACACCCAACACCCCCGAGCCCGGGCACCCAGCCCCGCCGCCGGGAAGGCTCCGCTCAGCCCCGGGCGCTGTCCCCCCGCCGCCCCCGCTCGGAGCCTTCTGGCGGTGCCCGCTCGGCAGCGGGAGCGCGGCTCTGCCGGCGGCTTCTCCGCGGCCATCCCGGGCTGCGGCGGGGGCGGTCGGAGCGGGCACCGCCGCACTGACGGGCTCGGAGGGCGGCGGAGCCGGGGGCGGCAGCTCTTCCGCGGGCACGGGCGCTCCCTCACATCCCCTCTCGCTCCTCCGCCGCGGCGGAGGGAGGCAGGAACGCAGCGCCGCTGCTGAGCCGCCCGGCCGCCCCGGGCTGCGAGCGCCGCGCCCCGCTCCGGTCCCGTTCCGAGCCCGAGTGCCGGCTCTCCCCGCTTCTCCCCTGTCTGGAGCCGCCCGCCGGGCAGTAGCGGAGAGCGGGGGGCGCCGGCGGGGACTGGGGCCGCCCCCCGGCGAGGCGGCGGAGCGGCCACGCCGCCGCTTTCGGGGGATTCTCCGAGAGGAGCGGGCAGGGCGGCTCCGGGAGGGGGAACCCCCCTCGGCCCGGCTATTCGCGTCCCCGGCGTCGCTCCTCCTCCTGGCGCTGATGTCAGCCGCGGGGAGGGCCGGCTGGCAGCGGCAGAGCGGGGCGCGGGCGGCCGCGGCAGAGCCGAGCCGGAGCCGCCGCCGCCGCCGCCGCCGGGACAGCGCGGGCTCCGGGGCGCCGCCGGCAGCGCAGCCCGCGCCCCCAGGGCCAGCCGGGCCAGCACCGGGCCAGCCCCGCCGGGGGCCGGGCGAGCGCCCAGCGGCGGCGGCTGCCCCGCGGCGGGACCCGGCGCTCCGGTGCCCGCAGCCGCCCGGCCGGGGAAGGGCTGCCGGGCTGCGCTGCGGAGCCGCGCCGAGTTCAGAGGCTCTCCGCGCAACTTGGGTTACGCGGCCGGACCTCTGCGGACTGGTGCGGGGCTTCCAGAGCGCGACTGCCTTTCCGTCGTCTCGCGGCTGCAAAAGCAGATAATTGCCTAAATCCAACAGAAATAAAACAAACTCAGGCTACCTAAAAGTTAGGATACCTTTTTTTTGCCCCCTCCCCGTTTCTTTTACAATTTTATTCCCTATGTGGAAGTCGTGTGTGATTCGCGCTCGGCACACTGCATGGGAAGAAGCGGCTGGTGCTTTGGATCGAGGATTTGCTGTTGCAAAGCGGTCTAAGTTCCATGCAGTGGGGCAGCCTTCACTACTCTGAACGCCTTGATGATGTGCTGAGGAGCCCATGCAGACTGGCATCTTGTGCAGAGAAGGCACTTAAGGTAAGAAGGGGGCTTGGGGAAGAGGGGGATTTCTGCATCGTTTCATGTGGTATATCTTTTGTCCAGCATCCCTCCCCCCAGCATTGGAAGCAGAGCCTCAGCGGTTCATCCAGAGCAGTATGGATAGGCTGGAACCGATCAAGTAAAATGAAAGTCTGCTCTCGTGAAAAGTGCACGGAGCTCACAAGTGATTGCAAAAGCTGTATTTATTTTTAGTCTGCTAGCACAGCGCGGCGCGGATGTGTGCTCACGGCGCGGACACTGAGCAACTCGCCTAGCTCAGGAATGAGGAGATCGCGGGCTCGGTCTCCGATGGGCAGTTTGCATTGGCTGCTGCATTTTGTTGAATGTACCCCCCGCTACCTCCCTAGAGCATCCCATCAGCCTGTTTGATTTGTTGTTTTTTGCAGATATAGTGCTTACTATTAATGAGAGGGGGTGAGGGATGCGAAAATAAACCCCAAAAAACCCCATATGGAACATTTTATTGATGTGATCATAATCCTGTAATGGAGATTGCATTAAATGAGGATTGCATCAAAATGCCAGGCTGCTGTGGAGAGCAGAGAAAGCAAAAACTATGCTGGATTGTAAATGAAGTTCTTTGATTGAAGGATTGTCTTGAACCATGAAGGGATGTCTGTAAGCTTAAAGTTGCTGTGTATGTGGAGTGCTGGAATGGGATGCAAACCAGATGAAGCTGAAATGTGTTTTAATTGACTCAGGCTCTGGATACAGTTAGAATTGGTTAGAGGCATTGCAGTGATGCCCAGTGAATTCTTGGTTTCAGCTACGGAGACCACGGAAAGGCAAGGAGAGAGCAGAACACAGAAAGGCAAGGAGAGAACGTGCTCGTGTGGGGAAGGGAAGGATGGTTTGTGACTTTTGCCATCGTGGTACAGATCTTGCAGCCTGCTGGCTACAGGCAGAAGCCTTGCAGGCGATGGAAGGCAAAGGATTTGTGTCTTTACTCTCCTTTTGCAGCCTGGGTGTAGTTGCCTGTAAAGTAGCTGCGAGGTGCATGGCAAGAGGCAAGCAGGGACCTATTTGCCCTTCTCGGACACTGAAGGAAACTGAGGCTGGGAGAGATGCAGTCGGCTCAGCTGATCTTGCTTTTTGAGCTTGAGTTGATAATGCATTTTGAGTAATTGTTGCTGCTTATCTCAATCGGCAGAGGAGGGGAGAAGATGTTCAAGTTTATTGAACCAAAGCAGAGTTGAGGACAGTAGATACCATCAGCTCACCCTTGCATTCTTTTTTGTGCTCAGTTGTATTCTGGCACAGAGAACTGAGCCACAAAGAGCACCTTCTTCAAGCCTTGATGAAAGGAAGCCTGAAGACAACAAAAAAGATTAAGTGAAAGATAAATTGTAACTTTTTGCTTGTCTGCAGTGGAAGTAGCATTGATCTGGCAGATTGCACAGGTCAAAAGAGGTAAGATAAGGAACAAAGTTGTTTATTTATTTATTTATTTACTAACATTCATGCACACACAAACAAAGTTGGCGTGCGGAGAAACATCCCAGAGTGCGGATGCTCCATGGCTGAGCACCACCTAAGAAACTGATAGAAACAGCAGAGAAATCCGTGTGAGAACCCTCAACATTCCTTTCTGTAACTGCAAAAGAGTTGGTTAAATGCTAATTTGCAAACCAACCCTGCATAGCTGATGTTCTCAGAAGGAATTTGTCTTCCCATTTGTGTACAGAATCTCAGGTAACATCTCCAGAACTCAGTCTCTCTCTTGCTGTGTTTTTGGCATAAAGTTGAGACGGAAACACTTATTTTAAATAAAATGAGGAAAAGCAGTATAAGCATGTTGAATTCCTCTTAAGCATTTTATCTTGGCAAAAGGCAACTTTTCTTGAATTGTAAGAGATAGGTTTAGAATATTCATGGCTTAACTCCAGGGAGCTTAGTGTTAGCTCAGTAGGCAGAAGGTTCTTTCTCTAAAGAGGTATCTGGAAAAGACATGTTTAAATTTCAAGCCATATTCAGTAGAGACTGTTGGTTTCCACATTTTAAAATCATTTTTTTATGCCTCTTAGGGGAATGATGCCTTATCTGGGCAATAAAGCAAGTATTCCTATCTTGCTTTTTTAATGGAAAGAGTATGCTCCAACTGTACTTCTGTATGTCCAATACTCCAGATTTTACTCTATTTTTTATCAAATAACAGCTGTGGAAGAAATTTTGTCCTTTGAAACCATGGTTATCCATGCAGATCTTGGTGTGTATTTTTGCTGCAGAAGAACTCTACTTCATGGCTGCATTGTTCATTCTTGAAGCATTTCTTTAAACGTGAGGCTCTCTATAGTTAAAGGATCATTTATATTCAGTGTAGTACTGTCTGCACAGTGGAATTGGCTTTATACATCACAGCCTCTGCAAAAAAAAAGAGATCAAAGATCGGAACCTGTGGTCCTGTATTGCATTTGTATTCTAGGTGGACTTGAGTAATCTCATAGTGGAGCCATTCACGCTCCCACAGTTAGGAGTGTGTCAGCCTTTCCATTAAAACACCCATTTGCTTAGGAATTTAATAGCTGGTTTAAGGACCGGCTCCAAGCTTAAATTGCAACATTCATACAGTAAAAAGAAAAAAACAGATATCCAAAACAATGAAGTCTAATAGCATTTGGTGCTGTTGAGTTTATGGAAAGCTTAGCAGGAAACAACACCTGTATGAAAAATGGAGAGGTTAAAAGGGAAAGAAAACCCGGAAAACCTTTCCAAAGGCACTTTTGGATCCAGGTGAGTGTTTCTACCTGAATTTGAAAGGACCCTGCGGTTGTTAAACAGACAATAGGACTTTTCTAAAGGGAGGACAGCACTGGCTCCCAGCAGGAATGAGTCAGATCTCTGTTCAGTTTCACACCCCCGTCAGAACGAATGCCTTTGGCGCTGCTCCAGGTAGTTCTTTGGAGGGTTAAGTTTCAAGAACAATAAACCCCAAACCTTGCATTGTAACCCATGAAGTTTTCCTTTCAAGGCGCCAAAGAGAACCTTTCAGTTTTGAATGGTGCTGCTTGTCTGACCCAGGTGTTGGGAGCCTTTGGGGACGCTGCTGGCTCTCACTTGCCAGGTGCTCACCTGGAACAGGCAGCCCGGCAATCCTGCTTCCCCTCAGCTGACTGCCAGCGGGGACAACGCAGAACTCCCCTGTCTAAAGCATCCCAAAGCCTTTTCCTGGGAGTACAAACACATGTGGATCCAGGAGTGCAGTTGCTCATGCTGTGTAATGCCAGTGTTCGAGATGCAGCTTCCTGTATTCTAAATATTTTAGACTGGATGGAATAAATGAGCATTGTTTGCCATTTACATAAAAATTCTTAAGGGAGATTAATATTCTTCTGTCCCAATTACCTCATTCTGCAAAGAGTTTTCTGAGGAAATTTGTGGCATTTATCTTTCTTTTGTGAAGTAGCAGTGACCGTGTCTGTCTTGGGTCTTTGAAAACTCATCCTCCTTGCAGATGCACAGGGAGTAATATGATGTCAGGAGAAGTTCATGTGAAAATTAAAATACAGATGAAGAACACTGTGGGATTTAGTCTGTGGACACAATCAAATCATGGTAGTTTAACAGTAAGTAAGAAACTGTGTCACAATTAAGTATTCTTTTCCTTTGAAGTCTGTTGTCGTTGTGCTTGATGAAATCCTGTTGGAAATTACTTCTGACATTTTTTGAAAATATATGATTTCCCATAGATTATGGAAGATTTAACCTTCTTGATCCAACATGGCCTGAGCCAAATCTTCCTGCAATCTGTGAAAAAATTCCTGGTGGAGCAGAGCCTTCCATAACTGCTTTTTGCCTTACATTACGTACATACTTTAACTTCTGCCAGTCCTCCAGGAGTTCTGCATGTCCATGTGGTATTGAAGGCATTGCTGTGGAGCAGTTTTGCTTGCAGGGGTGGCAGAACTCCGCCAGTTTAACAGCAAATGCTTTACTATCTTTTTAAGGAAGCTCTTTTTAAACGGTTTCTGTTTTCCTTAATTTAACTTGCAGAAGGAACCTAAGTAACCAGACCATCAAAGAGCCAAATGCGTTGTTAGAGAGACAGATTAATGTTGAAGTCACTGGAGACTTCCAAATTCAACAGTGAAATTACAAGCAGAGGTGCCCACTGTCTTTAAAGCCATTGCTGGGGGTTTGATGTGGCAGTTCCCTTGCTCAGAAACTTCTGCTTTGTCTTCCTGCCAAGGGAACATCTTGCCTTGTGTTCTACTTTGATGTGATATGGTTGTTTGGGGGAAGATTTTCTTCCTCCAAGCCGGTCTAGAAATGAGATGTCACTGGTGATGTAGTCTGTTTGCATATCAGTGTTTATCTGTTACATCCTTAAGGACATAGTTTTATTATTGTTGTAGGAATTTAATTAGTAATTATGTACGCTCGACGCTGTCTACTGAAGTAGCAGAAATACACGCTAAAGGGGAAAAAAATCAAGTGTAAGTTTATAATGCTTATGCACAGCATATTTCATTTAACCAACTGTGCCATCTTGTTAAATAAATAAATGTATATGTATGGAAATGTATGATGTGCTGGATACGTGCTCTCACACGTGGGCACGCTGCAGCCACATGCACTCATGATTCCAGCTGTAGTCCCTGGCACAAGGCACAGGCGTGCCCACCCCAAGGAAAGTATGAAAAGCTTGGGGAAATTGTGAAATGCTTGGGGGATGACTGAACTGCATCAAATGGAGCATAGGGAACAGTTATAAAAAAGCCACTCTCTCCCTCCAGCCTGTAACTCAGATTTCATTAGTTCACTTTTTTAAAAATAATCCTCCTGAGAAAGGAGGTTTCATGACTGGGTTTCATCTCTGCTGATGGAAATGGAATTATTTAAACCCATGTTTAGTCATTTCTGCAGGTTCTGTGATTGCTTTTGTAGCTATAAAAGCTTGTGTCTCCGTGTCTCTGACAGGTGTGGAGCTGTGTGTCCTGGCAGGCACACGGTCACCTGGATCTTTGCTTTTCCTTGGG